TCTACGGTGGCGGAGAAATCGACTATCTCGCTGATCTCAGGCACCACATCGCGGTCGCGTGCCAGAATCTCTCGATGGCGCTCGTCCAGAAGGCTGTGGCGGAGTGTCATGATAGTATTTAATATGCTCTTCAATATGGTGGTAAAAATGTCCGATCAGAATTTAATAAAGTGTAACTTATAGCGCCTCGAAAGTCAAGGAAGAAAAGTGACTTTTTTATTGGCCCCCTCTATACAATGTTGTACTTTTTGTACTTACCATCTGCCTTTACTGCATTGCTCCAAACATCCGACAGACTACCCGTTTGCCAAACGGCACAGAAGAAGAAAAATCAGTGACTCAAATAGAAGAGTCGCCATGCATTTTGTGGTGCTCACTCAGGATATGTTGTCCGAAAATGTGCAATCCTCAAGCGATTGCTTTCTTAATAGACTATATACTTTGACGAATTCATCATTAAATCAGTTCAAGCGAAAGGGATGAAGTGGAATATTGCATTTTGCGTCGAGTAGCAAATTCTACTGTGCTAATTCTGTCAGATTTTCAATCAGGTGAGCTATTTCCGCGCTTTACCAGAAGAAAGTCTACCGTTCACTGTAAGCTACATCCACTTTGAAAAGGCGACTCTGACCCATTTCCCCCTTCGAGTAAGGATTGTTGGTTATGGAAAAGAATGTAATAAAACACTGCAATGTAAGTGTAGTAGAAATCAAATAGGACGAAATAACGAGCAGATTCGCACCGAGAAGAACCCGTCGGAAGGTTGCAACTGAACGTAGACAGAGTAAATAGTATTATCGCCATCCTGTAGTTCTTCTATGTCGATTGCCTGGAAATCGTAACAGTACATATAGTCTTGTTTGCTATGGATGCTGTGGCGTGTCAGTGGGCTGGATATAGAGGGTGTCAATCCGTTTTTCATTTTTGTTGCCAAGTTCTCGCTTCAACTTTGGTGCAGAGCGGGTTAGCACTGCGCCAAACCCAGACCCCTGCACATCTCAACGTCCCCAGCGAAAAGGGCTGTAATTTTCACTCACAACTTACTTTCTTAAACTTCTGCTTCAAACATTTCTTCCCATATCCTATAATTTCCAACTCATAATTGATTTCTTCCGCCACAAACTGCCCGAGCATTCGCTTCAGCGATTCGTTCCTTAAATTGTTACAACACCAGTTTGTTAGCTGCACCTATACAATTGCGTAGGGTTTCAAACCTATTGAGTCCTAAGTAATGTCCGATTTCAACCCCAACAGTCAAAAGTTGGGATTATTTCATAACCAAATTTTAATCGCAAATGCATCGTACCTTGAATAGTAATCTGTAGACATGTTCACCACCTAGCTCTGAAAATTATGTTGCATGTCACGAGGGAGTATTGGAGGTGCATTTCGAGAATGGCTATCATACCAGCCGTTATCTTTCAGAGAGTAACCAAACGAGCAGAACATGTGGTATCGTAGATAAGAAATCGGGGGAATCGGGATGTCTTTGATGTTGTTCGCTTCCGGCTCTTTTTCTCGGCATTTAATGGTTAGTTCATTAAATCATCGACATTATATAAGTGTGAGATCTTCAGCAACTCTTTAGAACTGCGAGGATTAGTCGTCCTGTCGATTAAGTCGGTTTTACTGTTAAGACTTCAACAAGCTACCCCCAACGGAAAGTTTTTGCGTCTCGGGGCTTGCTTTGCTGCTGAGATGAGAAACATACATTCGCCCATCAGGCTTGATCGCATAGTTTGCCCAATTGTCGTTTTACTAGGCTACTGATCGAACTGATCAAAGCGGCAACCTCTAAACAGCATGCTTTTTCCTGTGTACTTCTTGGATTGAACCCATCTTGATGTTTCTGGCTGCATCAGATCAAGAGGAATAAGTCATATGCAATGATTATAGTCATCGCGGTGGAGGTAGTCTAGTGGCAAATGGCACGCTCACTACGCTCAACCTGAAGATCAAATGCTTGATCGCCTTCCGCCCGGGCCAACCAAGCCTTCTATCCTCCGGGGACGGTAAATTGGTACCAGATTCGTCTGGGAGGATAAAACACTGACTTGTACATCGGCTGGCCCCCGCAAGTCATTGTATAGGCCACATCGCATTCAATAAGCCACTACGATTCTGAATGGAAGTAGAATGCGTGCCGCATCCCACAAAGGACTGATCAACAGCGGAAATATTATCCTTCATTCCATGATCGCCCTCCAGTTGATTTCGGTATTATCGACGTCTGACCATAGGGCGTAAAGGTCAGCAGTTAATGCTAACAGATTTGCGAGTTCCACTTACTCTTTAAAAAAGTTGCTTGCGGAGGTGGGGACATGTGGAACACAGGAAATATGGGATGTAAGGGGCTCCAATCTCAGCACGAAACACAGTTGCGCTATACACAGTTGGTAGTTTGGAGTGAGGGTGGAAAGGGTGACTCATTTCCACGAGGTCATGCTTGACGCTTGAGCTACTATTACTACTATTATGCTGTTGATGATGAGGAAAAAACGCAGGCTTTCAACCTATTACTAAAAAAGGGTATATCTCAATATGGGCAATTCTCTCCGGTTATCAAATCACCGCAATCTGCGCTTCTCTCCCGAATAGATTCTGAAGGACCTTTTCCTAGAGCGAAAGGCTGTGATGATATACATTTGGTAAGGTCGTTTCCCCAGGGGCTAGGTTGATGTAGCTGTCTTAGCTGTTGAGGCCTCGGAGAAGTGGAAGTCAGCGGGGTTTTGCAGCACCTGCAGCGTTGTGCCACAGGTGGCACGATGTCGTGGTGATAGAGGAATCCTGCCTTTCTGACCAATGCAGTTTACAGACGTTGAAGTTCCAATGCATCTCGCCTACTCCCTGAGTGCACGCTGATGGCGTAATCACCTCATTCGGCTTCAAGAAGCTCTGGAGAATAAATCAAGTTTTGGGATCACTCGGATATGCGTATTCGATTTTTTGGTATAACTCCGCTTTCAAAAAATGTTGCAAGGCTTTTTCAACCCAACCACTGAGACAATGGTAACTGGTTGATACATAGAAACCATTTCATCTCACGTTACATTAGGTTGCTGGGTCATTTATTTGGCTCATAATAGGTTGCAGCTCATGGCCGCTCATTACGAACTGACGCCGACTCTGATCGTGTCCTCTCAGTTCGTGCGGCACCAGGCACCGGCACCATACATGGAACTTCTTCCATTGAAGCTTTCGCCTATGGAAGGAGGATTTCTGCTACCTGGATTTCTGCGACTTCTGTTTTTCACGTTGTAGCTCAAAGTCGTCGTGAGGAAAATTTCGAAGTCAACGGTAAACAGACAGGAGAGATAGATAGATGCACTAATTAACAGTTCGTTGCCCCATATTTCATTTATATTCGAAGGCTTCTGCGCTGAACTTATGATTAGGCGGAGTAGGAATTCGAAGAAGAGGTGTTGTCGTAATTGTTGTTTCGACGTCCTTCCTTCTGACCATAAGCTGGAAAACTTCACATTTTCCTCCAGAAACGTCAGCATCTGCAGCGTAAGATAGCGCAGAAGATACGCTTTCTAAAGATATGTGGCTTCGCTTTGTTTCACGTTTTTTCTTTCCAAAAACGGGCGCAAGAGTCCAGGTGGTGCAAAACTTGCATTACTTTACGCCGCCTGACATCAGCCTGGAAAAAAGGTCCTGCGACTCTATAAACTAGTTGTACCCGCGAACATCAAAATACATTTCGATTTATTCAACGTTAGATTAGTGGGGAGTGTTCTGTGAGGTTCTCGCAGACGGGTATGTTATGGCTACATGGAAATTCCAGGGCTCAGAAGTTCCGTAGAAAACTCTTTGATTTCTGCAGATCAAAGTATCCGATATTATGAGTTCCTATAGGGCCCACGTCATCGTAGTCAAGGGAGCTGACACCTGCATTGTCCTTATGAAGGAAACTGTTTGCCATCCACAGTGTCCGTTGATTCAGTTCAAAGTGTGGATGACATCACGCTTGATTTCATTCAGAAACACAATTTCTTTCTACTCTTTGGCAATCCTAACATCGCATGCGGCGATGAGACATCACCAAAAGTTCATGGATTTCAATCAGAAGAGGTAACAGTCCCCAGCTTGTTTACCGGACCTAGCAGCCTCTAATTACCACCTGATTTGGTCCTTACTGCGTCCTTTAGAGAGCGAGAATTCTGAGAATTAACGTATACTTGAAAATAAGGTCTACCTCTTCTTTTCTTTAATTGTCGCATTTCTAGAAGAGTTCAGTCGAAAAGCTATGCGAAAGTGGGAACATGTCCTAATTATTGATGGTGATACCTTGCAGATTGGAGGTCGTTTAGTATAGGAAATTCTGGTTTAAAATTTAGAACGGAGTGCTGCAGAAATTTTTTTTCAACATAGTAGAACAACAGCACAGCACTTCTTCCTCGAACCCCACGCGAACTTCTGAACTT